TGGCGCAGCAGCCGCAGCAGCAGCGATGCAAGCCGCCGTGGTGGCGGGGGCAGGCACAGAGCTGCAGCAGCAGCAGCAGCAGCAGCAGCAAGGAGGAGCTCACGAAAGCACAGCAGTCCCCGCAGGGGAGGAGCTGCATCGCCGCAGTACAGAGGCAGACACTACAGCCCTATCAACGGGCGTCCTCTTGCTGCTGCTGCTGCTGCTGCTGCAGCAGGAGCAGCAGAATCAAAACATAACAGCAGCAAGCATGGGCAGGAGCGTCGCAGCAGAAGAGAAGCAGCAGCAAGCAGCAGCAAGAAGAGTCGCATGCATTCTCCTCAGGATCTACATCAGTCATTGCAGCCGCCTCCTTCTCCCCCACCGCCACCACAGCAGCAGCAGCAGCAGGAGCAGCAGCAGCAGCAGCAGCAGCAGGGTGCACGAAAGAGCGTGAGAAAGCAGAACAAAGAAGCAACAAGAGATGAAATAACACACTTCTCCTGGAAGCCAGGGCTCTGGCTAAACAACAGATATCGAGTCCTCGCTAAACTAGGAGACGGAACATTCGGCAGAGTTCTCCGCTGCGTAGATGTGCTTATGCAAACACAAGTTGCTATCAAGGTAATAGCAGCAGCAGCAGCAGCAGCAGCAGCAGCAGCAGCAGCAGCAGCAGCAGCCGGAGCAGCAGCAGCAGCAGCAGCCGGAGCAGCAGCAGCAGCAGCAGCAGCACACGCAGCAGTAGCAGCAGCAGTTGAAACGGAAGCAAACGCAGCAGTATCAGCAGCAGTATTGGTAACAGCAGCAGCAGCACCAGCAGCAGCAGCAGCAGCAGCAGCAGTAGTTGTAGTAGTAGTACTAGCATAGAATGCAGAGAAAGCTGCGCCACTGTAGTTTCTTTTTTTTTATGTTTATTGTATTTTTCTTTTTTTTCTTTTTATATTTCTTTTGCCTTTGTGTTGTTTCTCGTTTCGTGTTTCCTGTACTATGTTTCGTGTTTAACGTTTCCGGTGTTTCAGTGTGTATTATTCAATATTTTTACTAATATATATTAATTATTTTATTATTTTTATTTTTTTATTTATTATTTATTTATTTATTGTGTTTCAGGTGGTTCGTGATGTGGCTCGGTATACAGCAGCAGCTGAAATAGAAGTTGAAATACTGAGAAAGCTGAATCGAAAGGATCGGAGTTCAAGTTCATATTGCGTGAATTTATTAGATTATTTTATGTATCACAAGCGACATATGTGTTTAGTTTTTGAGTGTTTAGGAAAAAGTTTATATGATGTTTTATCTACAAATAAATATAGAGGTTTCTATATACAAGATATTATTGAAGTCGCTAGACAAGGACTTACTGCACTCGCATTCATGAGAGAATGTAAACTCGCTCATACAGATCTTAAGGTAAACTATACATACATATATATATATATATATATATATATATATATA